GGACTGACATGGATTGAGTATGTTTCCCAATATAACTCGGCCGGGGACTGGGCACGAAAAAGCAAGAACGTCATGTAACGTCAAGAATAGGGAGCTCTTAATGATTTATTATAAATTTCATACATATTTGTGATTGACTGCGTTCGATATCACATTTATAGACGAGATAGTAGTTAGAGACTTTAGAATTAACATTCTCAAACGCATTAATAATTCATGAGGAAAACACAAAATCATAACCGAAACGTTGTTTGGAAAACTGGTAATAAACGTCCATAAATTAAGCCAACTTTCGCCTCAAATTTCTCTTAAAATACTGATTCGTTTGAGAAGCTATATCATAAACGAGAAGCCGTTTATTACCTGATTTGAAAGCACCTCGAAGTTGGTTAAAAAACTCGGCTATCGCCTCGTTTTCCAACACACTTCTCGGTGTTTTCAAATCAGGTAATAAACGGCTTCTCGTTTATGATATATTACTTGAAATACAGTCGAACCTCTATTAAGCGGCCCTCCATTAAGCGGCCACCCTCTATTAAACGGCCACATATCAAAGTCCCGAAATTTTTGTAATACAAATACTATAAACTATCCCTCTATTAAACGGCCACCTCTATTAAGCGGCCGCGGCCACCCAAAGAGCGGTCCCAAATGATGTTTTATGTCAATTTTTACCTCTATTAAGCGGACAGCCTGCAGGATTTTTAGGTTTAGATATAAGTAATAAGAACCATATTGGTGTCCTAGTAATAAATTTATGCTAATGTGAGCCTAAATGTTTGTTCAAAAGGTTTAGTGTGAAATATGATAGTGTGATGGCATCGTGTTGTTGGCACACTGCGTGCCGGTGAAAAAATGTTATAGTAGATGAAACTGAGAATTAAAGATAAAATCACTATTGTATTCTGTGATTTATAATAAAAAATAGACATTTGACTACGCCCAGGTTCTATTATTTGCGTACCTCTATTTAGCGGCCACCTCTATTAAGCGGCCACAAAGTCGATCCCCGAGGGTGGCCGCTTAATTGAGGTTCGACTGTACTTCCATATACATCAATGGCAATTAGTGCAGGCTTGTGCGACAAAATCACCATTCTTATTGTAATAATTGTGAATCTATGGTAACAATATAATCATCTTGGATGTATTCTTGAACTGTATTTTCAATCTATCATCTATTATGCCCTAGAAACTGATATTAGAACTGTTTTTCAAAAGACAGTCGAAATCATGCTATTTCCTATTCTAATTCAATCGTCATGTTTACATTAATTTATTTTGGGTGTCCATAAATCATTACAATTTATAGTTTCATAAAAATTTCTTCCTTCACGGAGTACCGCTGTTTTATAATCTCGTTTACTTTTAACCAAAGGTTTGCGAAGTGGAATCATCCAGTTTCGATATGGCGAAAATTTTTAAGAAAATTCTCTCCATCCTGGACAGTCTGTCTTGCCACGAACATCTATAGAGATTGTCATGGTTTAGATCCAGATGGAACATTGGTGGGGATCGATGAAAGAACTGGCTGAAGAAAGTCGGTATACACTAGCAAAAATTTTTTATACAGCGCTGCCGGTGTTCGACGTTGAAGATACTTTAATTTAATTAAGTATTACAAAACATTGTCAGGCCTAGAAAATATAGTTCTCTTCCTGGCAGCAAAATTCAAAAATAAAAATGTCCTGCATGTGAAGTCAGAAATAAAACTTCCTGCATGTGTCGATTTCAGAGAACGTACGGTGCCGCACATTGTGGTAAACTTCTATCTCGCCACAAAACAATCACAACTTGCAAAATACTTTTGAAATTTTTAAACGATAAGTAAATTATATTGCATTCAGTATATACATATTAGAATGCTGTTTTTAGGGTTAGGATTCCAAGTGAGTATATATACACTTTAAGACCTGACCAGGAACGACTGCGAAAAATGCAGCACAAGGTCCTCTGGTAGGAATTGAACCTACGGCCCTTAAAGTGTATATATACTCACTTGGAATCCTAACCCTAAAAACAGCATTCTAATATTAATACCACCAAGTGAAGTGCAAGGAACACGATCATTGAAGTCCAGTATATACATAGCCTATCGAAGGGAAGATGGCTGTGAAACTCATTAGAAAACAATATAACTCATCTATGTTGGTCAACGTTTATTCATAAATCTGGTCCTTCACCGTCACGTGTGTATTGTATTCTTGCCCAACCTACTAGGAAAGACACCTATCCGTGACTCGAACAATAGGGAAACTGGAAATTGCTATTGGTGGATTTGGTAAAAATACAATACACACGTGACGGTGAAACGACCAGATTTCTGAATAAACGTTGACTAAATAGATAATGAGTTATATTGTTATTTTAATGAGTTTCACAGCCATCTTCCCTTCGATAGGCTATGGTATATAAGATGACAAAAATTTCCTGCAAATGGTATAAGAAAATCTCCTGCGAAGATATTTTGTTAAAATTTCCTGCCAGCGGTGCTGCTGGATACACCAAAAAAGTTTGAAAAAAATTTCATGCAGAGACTTTTCAATAGGGAAAATTATAAGTTGAAATAAACAAATTCGTACAAGGGATTATATTATTTAAAAAAAATTATCGACACAAGCAAAATTTTTTTAAAAATATTCGTTAAGTTAAAAAAGTCCCCCCCCCCCATCACTTTTCTAATGGTCCGCCCCTTAAATGTTTAAACATTTGCATTTAGAATTTTTTAAATTAGTTTTTGTTAATAAACAAAACAAGACTACAAATTTTGGCAAGAATAGTATACCACAAAAGCTTTAAGCCAATTACTATCCCAAATCCCGACCAAATTTTCATCTCCAATATTTCGCGCGTGTCGCGCTACTATTAAGTTGTAATTTAAATTTATATATTCTCTTTGGATAATATGCAATTTAATATAATAATTGTACTCTACAAGCTACAGGGAACGATACACACAAAATCCATCAAGCAAGTTGCGTCTAGCAACACAGTTAGGTTATCTGAAAATTCATGCCTTGCCAACGGCTTGCTGATATCGTTCACCGACGTCATTCCAGTTTGCGACATTGTAAATTGACTTGACGTAATCAGGTTTCACGTTCTTATATTGAAGGTAATACGCATGCTCCCAGACATCAATACCGAACAATGGCACAAGACCTATAGGAAATGAAATAGAATATAGCTAAATTTAAATAGAATGCAAAATAATGCAGATGGTGAACATCACAGTAGTTTGTACTGATAGTACCACAAAACCATGCTGATACAGCCGAACCTCTATTAAGCGGCCCTCCATTAAGCGGCCACCCTCTATTAAACGGCCACATATCGAAGTCCCGACATTTTTGTAATACAAATACTATAAACTATCCCTCTATTAAACGGCCACCTCTATTAAGCGGCCGCGGCCACCCAAAGAGCGGTCCCAAATTAAATGTTGTTTTATGTCAATTTTTACCTC